TTAACATTTCTTCTACTTTGAGTGCCTCTCAAACTTTGTTTTGGGCAAAATTGTTATTGTTCCTGGCCTGGCATCTCGGCTTCAGTCACTTTCCTACCGCCATAATATAGCTTCCCCGTGACTTTCATGGTAATTGTTCTGATGAGCGTTCTTTTGTTATTATTTGTATCCCCCTCCACCGACTAAATGTACATATAGGAACTAGTTAGGACTTCATAGAGACTTTGAGGTATTGCGGTGACTGTAGTAAGAATGTTAAGTAACAATGCGTTGTTTTGGCGTAAGGAATACTGTGCTATGTTTGGTTTAGTAATCATGGCTAGCTAAGATTAATATGAGACCGACTGATGACCAACCTTCCCCCATTACTCCAATTTTGCCTCATCCCAGATTACTCGGAATGACCTTACCCAAAAATATTTCCGAGATTTTTCAGTAAGATGAGTTTCATGAAAATCTGAGACGATAACAGTGTCTTTCTTGTATTCGCTTCCCAATCATAACCATTTTAAAATTTCTTTTACCCTGCGTGTCTCTCGAACTTTGTTTTCGGTAAAAATGTTATTGGTCCAGGCATCTCGGCTTGTCACTTTTCCAGCGCCGTAACGTAGCTTCCCTGTGTTTTTTCTATAAATACTTTCATTGTAATTGTTCAGATGCGCTTTCCTCTTTGGGACCTCGATATTTCGAATTCAAGCGCGGTATTAGATTAACAGCGAAGCCTCATCATTTTAATGTTGAAATAGTTAGGGGTAACCGTAAGTTCTATGCTAACAGTTTCTTCATCCGCACTTCTTGCAGTGGAGTTCTCTTCCGGTCTCTTGCTTTACACTAACATAGATCTTCAAATATTTATATGCAATGTCAATCGCTATCTTTTATCTTCATTTCTAATCTTTTATTGTTCCCTGTCGTTAATATTGTGTTTCTCTTATTCTTTCACACTCGCTAATCCTTGCGTCTTAGTAGCTTTATTGCCTTGCCTCCGATTAAATAATTAAAAAAATATCCACATACCTCGTCAGTCTGCATATACTAAATTTCTTTTCGTGCCCGTATACAAATCTCGTAATTAAAGTTCCGATATAATGTCTTATGAGTATAAACTTTATATTTTAGGGTTACCCATGTTTGAATAAACATTACTGCTTTGTAATCGGTGAAAAGTAGGAAACTTCACAGAAAACGCCATACGGAAGGTTTAAAATTAATTTTAAAAAAATGAAAAATCTTTATTGAAACTTTTATTTTAATATTAATTTCAAGCTAATAGATTAAATGTAATATTTCAAATAATCAAAATACTTTGCTGTATTTCAAAAACTAATTTAGAACTAGACTTTAAATTGACTGGAAGTTTTTTTTTTTTTTTTTTTTTTTGGTAATATAGTGATTAGTGTAATTTTTTAGTAGTCTTTCATCGCAGTGTATTAAAAAAAAAAACTCCCAAAATAAAATATACTTTATTGAAACTTTATTTGAGGATCTGTCTATATTTCTGAGATGAGGTATTATGTACATTATTTACATTATTCAGACTATTGTCCTCATCTTTGTCGCCATGTTGATCACAACGTTTCGGCCTTTCAGTATCTGTCTATATTTCTGAGATGAGGTATTATGTACACTATTTGCATTATTCAGACTATTGTCCTCATCTTTGTCGCCATATTTATTACAATATTTCGCCCCTTCAGTATCTGTCTATATTTCTGAGATGAGCTATTATGTACACTATTTGCATTATTCAGACTATTGTCCTCATCTTTGTCGCCATATTTATTACAATATTTCGCCCCTTCAGTATCTGTCTATATTTCTGAGATGAGGTATTATGTACACTATTTGCATTATTCAGACTATTGTCCTCATCTTTGTCGCCATATTTATTACAATTTTTCGACCGTTCAGTATCTGTCTATATTTCTGAGATGAGGTATTATGTACACTATTTACATTATTCGGACTATTGTCCTCATCTTTTGTCGCCATATTTATTACAACGTTTATTTCTGAGATGAGGTATTATGTACATTCAGTATTGTCCCCATCTATTGTCGCCATTTCTGAGATGAGGATGATTATGTACATTATTTACATTATTCGGACTATTGTCCTCATCTTTGTCGCCATATTTATTACTGAGAAAACCGATCAGACCCAGGCGCTGCGATGAACGCCGACCCCGCCGTTGTGGGTGGTGGTGCATGGCTGTTCTGAGATGGTGGAGCGATCCGTCTGGTTGATTCCAATAATGAACGAGACTCCGGCCTGCTAACTAGTGCGCCGATGTGTGTATTTATTCAACGGCGGGCTCGGCGTTCATCGCAGCGCCCGGGCCCGGGTCGGTTTCTCAGTCATAAATATGGCTTTATTTGAGGAATATTACCTGATGTAAAGTTTAATTAATCTGATTTGAAACAAATACTTTAATTTTAAAATATCGCAGAAATGCGGTAGTTGACATCTTGACGGATGTTTCTCTAAAGTTTTTCTACAGAGGGGGGATTTATCTGTAAAAATGAATTGAAGAATATAACGCGAGCGACTTTTATATCGTTTTTAAGTACTCAGTAATTTTAAAAAATTAGGAAAATATTCTCCATAATGTAATGTTTTATTCTATCATAAAAATTGGCTTTAAATTTACTATAGTAATCGCTCTTATTATTTGATAATATTGTTATGTATGGTCGCCCGAACTTACAAAAATCTGCATGTTTATATTCTTTTTAAAATATTGGTAATTGAAAACTGGTCTTAAACTTTTTCATTTATGATTAGTAAATATAGTTTTGACTTATTGATAATATCATCCAAAAGGCTGAAATTAATACAGGATTTTACAAGATTTAGAACTTAAGTTATTCCAATTAAAACAAAAAAAAAATTAAAAACTATTCTTGTAAAAATGCATTATTCATCGAAGAAATATTTTTCTTAAGACAAAAGTATTCTTAATATATCTTATTTATAAAAACAATCAAATTTTTTTCTAATTAAATAATGTCTTAGTTTGATTGCATTTTTGTTTTAAGATTCAGGGTCGTTTTCAGAAAGTGGAGTTTGTTTGATAAAAGAGATTGATGATTTAAATTCTCCAAGCATTCCTGCTTTTAACTAATATCAAAAATTTGGAATTTTATTTTCTGGAAATTTCATAGATCGGATGGGGTGTAAAATATGTAAAAAACATATTTTTACCAAAGGTTTCTTTAAAAATATATTTAAAATTACTAATTAATTATTTCCTTTGTGAATAAGTTTCATTAAAATCCGATGGATCGTCTAAATGATACCTAAATGAAAATAACACTTGCATCTCATTTTAACAGATATACAGTGTGTAATGGATAAATTGTCGTCTAAACGGCGACAACATGAAAATAGCCATTTGCTTCACCCACAGCTCCAGAAGACTTCGGCATCTCTTGCAAGTCTTCTGGACGGTCACCTATGCGTCGACTTGCTTGGGGTGAATTCAGTTATATATATATATATATATATATATATATATATATATATATATATATATATATATATGTGTGTGTGTGTGTGTGTGTACTGTATACTGTGGTGCGATGGATAAATTATCGTCTAAATTAACCAAAAATGAAAAAACACTGACATCTTAACAGATATATTTACCAAAATTACACCAAAATATCTAAAAAGTAAATTTATTTAATTAAATTGTCATTGGCTTCAAACATGGCCTCCAGACAATTTTGGAATCTCATGCATTTCTTTTGGACAGACTCCTCGTTTAAGTTAGTGAATGCTGCCATAATCTTTGCCTTCATTTCATCTTTGGTGTTACAAGGAGTTTTGCTGGTCTCTTGCTCAACTGCACCCCACACATAATAATCAAGGGGGTTGCAGTCTGGGGAGTTAGGTGGCCAGATGTAAGGGGTGATGTGGTCGCAGAAATTGTCTAACAGCCATGATTGGGTTATCCTCCTTGTGTGGCATGGTTCAGAGTTCAGTTGCCACTACTTCCTCAAGACACTTGATGTAGGCCTTCGCGTTGAGTCTTATGTCCTTTGGGAAGATGGCTGGAAGAATAACATCGCCATCACTAGTGACCACTCCAAACACCTTTGTAATCACCATTAGCCTCATTTAACTGTTTCCGAATCCTCTGCACTGTTCTCAGATTGAGATCCAAATACTGAATGTTCGTATTCGAGCTCCTGGTGCGAATGCGAAGCAGTGTAGAATGCTGTTTCCAAATTTCTGGCGAAATGAATTGAATCATCGTGCTCTTTTTTTATCACAAATGGTGCCTAACTGACCCAACTATGGTGTGCAGTCGACAAAATAAAAAAATACAACGCGCATGCGCGAAATTTAGGAAAATATAAAATGGCGACTATTTATTAATTGCATCCTGTATAAACAGCGGCGGTTATGACAAATCTGCGAGAAATTCATGAATACGATCCGAAACCAAAAGATGCTAAAAAACTGGTCTGCTGGTCTCGGATTAATTGAATGATTGATCTGCTTTATTTTACGGCTTATCAACCCATTGCAGAGGCATTTGGGCTGATGTAATGGTTAACAAGCTTGCCTCGCTTGATCAATTACAACTGAGTAGTGAGTTCGATTCGCAGTTGGTGCCCCACTCTTTCGGTCTTTGCCAAATCTAAACTGCGCTTAGAAAATCACCACGGGCATCTCAACGTGGTGTCGTGGTTAGCAAGCTTGTCTTGCTAGAACAATTACGATTGAGTACGGAGTTCGATCCTCACTGAATGCTTAGCAAATCCCTATAAACTCTTTGCAGCTTATTTAAAGCTGAAATAATTTAATAACTTTTTGAGATAATTGTGATTTTCTGATAGAAATCGTATTAGCAGAGGTAAGAGGTGGGTTCATATATTTCCCATGGGTAATTTCGCGTAAGTGAATATAACGGACGCAGATGGAACTTGAACTCAGTTCTCCAAATTCAAATTCCGAGGCGTTATCCATTACACCACCTGCACATCCTAGCGTACAGAACCTGGTATTCCCAAGCGGTGACCCATCTAGGTACTAACCCTGTTCTATGTTGCTTAACTTAACTGATCACACAGTAACGGGTGTTTCAACGTGATATGGCCGTTAGCTCATTACACCGGTGATGGTTTAATTAGTAGTATTTGTATCAGTAAATCATAATTATCTCCAAATAATTCTTACAATCCCAAAATATTTTCTAGTTTTAAATAACCTGGAAAAAGGTTGATAAGCCGTAAAAAAACGAATCAATCAATCGTTGTCTTCACTGTTTATCACTTGTTTCATTCATATTACACATATGTTATTACCATTTTAACAGTAACCCTCTAACTTAAGTGGCTCTCGTGGCTTGCATTGTATGAATTCTGCTACATAAATGACTAGATGCCGAATTTCGCGATTCTCTGATATGGTTTCTTTCATTACATCCCGGATTACAAAAAATAAAAAATAAAAAAAACAGATCGAAAAAAAAAAGCCCCTAATACGGAAGTTCTGCTACTTGAAGACCTAATAGTACTTGGATCATATCTAACGCATTTAGCGGCGATTCTACAATTTTATCAGGGTTTGTTTCATAAAATCTTCCCCCAAACCTTTCTTTATCATTCAGCTATCGAACTGACGAACATTTAACGGAGTTAACAATGGCAATATATACATATGGTGAGCAGGCACGGTGGAGTAATGGATAGCGGCTTGGATTGAGGAATTTGAGAGCCGAGTTCGAATTCCTAGTCGAATCCATTACATTCACTTACGTGCTAATACCCTTGGGAAAGGTGTGAATCCTCTTTCTTCTCCCTCCAGCTATGGGTAAATAGCAGGACAGACTGGGTTCTATAGCCTTGAATGGAAACAGACCAACCGTAGAATAGGATTAAGGAATCGCAGAGACGAGTTCGAATTCCACTCGAATCCATTACATTCACTTACGTGCTAACACCCTTGGGAAAGGTATGAATCCTCTTTTTCTTCCCCCAGCTATGGGTAAATAGCAGGACAGACTGGGTTCTATAGCCTTGAATGGAAACAGACCAACCGTGGAATAGGATTGAGGAATCGCAGAGACGAGTTCGAATTCCAGTCGCATCCATTACATTCACTTACGTGCTAACACCCTTGGGAAAGGTGTGAATCCTCTTTCTTCTCCCTCCAGCTATGGGTAAATAGCAGGACAGACTGGGTTCTATAGCTTTGGACGGCAACTGGTCTAGGAGTGTAGAATAACAATAATAAACAGCACTTACCGGCGTAAAGGTCCCAGCTAGCGTCCAGCTGGCAGACAAAAATAAAGCAGGTTGTAACTTAATACAAACCCTGCAAACGAACTGATGAATCAAGCTGGTATTTATATAGAAATACCTCCACTCAGGTACCAGCAGCCAATCACAGCCCAAGCAATGGACTATCCCACTTTAGCACAATGAGATGCTCCATGGCAACATAAATAGCTCTCTTTCTAAAAGTTGGATTAGTATTCATTTAGCTTGCTCCACAACTGAATGTTTATCTCTACCACGTGATTTTTCTACAAGGAGAAGGAAAACTCTGAATTCAAACCTGCTCTTAGAGGAGGGTGAATGGAGTCTCTCTGAGCTTTGGTTGGCAATCCATTTAGTGTTGGTGTCACGATAAAAACACCCTTGATAGCCCTAGCGAAGCATCAAGAATTCAGCTATTTGACAAGATTATGAACTACACCAATCAAAGATTGGTGAGTTCAATCTCGGCTGAGGCCGCAAGAAGAAGATCGTGAGCAGACAAATATGATTGTAATGGAAGCGAGGCTGCACGTCTTTATGAGATTGTGTTTCCCGACCAAAGGCAGCCAACCTTTTTCTTTGGTTTGGTGTTGAGGAACCAGCGCCAAAAGTTTGCAAAAGCATTTGTGATATACTCTATATAGACAAAACGGCTTTTGACTTCTGCAATAGTTGCAATACTTCATCTAAGAAATATAGACAGATCCTGAAGAAGGCCGGAGCGTACAGCGTCCGAAACGTTGTGAATATGACAATAAAGACGAGGACAACAGTCCGAACCATGTAAATAGGTGCAATAATTCATCTCGGGAATATAGACAGATCCTGAAGAAGGCACAACGGCCGAAACGTCGTGAATATGACAATAAAGACGAGGACAACAGTCCGAACCATGTAAATAGGTGCAATAATTCATCTCGGAAATATAGACAGATCCTGAAGAAGGCACAACGGCCGAACCGTCATGAATATGACAACAAAGATGGGGACAAAAGTCCGAACAATGTAATTAGTCTCTTCAAGTTATTTTTTCACCACATTTGTGGTCAGGTAACTATTTGCGTTAAGTTACTGGATTACTTCAACGAAAGCTTTTATCCACTAGGCCACGTGTCCTTGAAATCGGGACAGATCCTGAAGAAGGCGTATAACGGCCGAAACGGCGTGAATATGACAACAAAGATGAGTACAACAGTCCGAAGAATTTAAATAGCGTAAACAGTATGAATCTCAAAAGCAATGGTTTAAGATTTTGAGAAGTTTAATAGACATTCCTCTATGATAGTTGCGAAATCAAGATTATCCCTTTTGATATAAAACAAATAAGGATTCTTCTTTTAATGCATTTATTTATATTACAGAAATGAAAAACCCTATGCCCTATAAAATTGAAGTCAAATATTCGTCCAGAGTCACCATGCCAAACCCTGTCGAACGCCTTTAAGATATCTAGGCAAACCCTATGTTCTATAGCATTGCAGAAATCAAATGCCCTACGCTCTATATAATTGGAGAAGTCAAAAACCCTATGATTTATATAATTGCAGAAGTCAAAAGTCCCATGATCTATAAAATTAAAGAAATGAAAAACCTTATACTCTATAAAATTGAAGAAATGAAAAACCCTATACGCTATAAAATTGTAGAAATGAAAAACCCTATACTCTATAAAATTGAAGAAATGAAAAACCCTATGCTCTATAAAATTGAAGAAATGAAAAACCCTATAATTGTAGAAATGAAAAAAACCTATACTCTATAAAATTGTTGAATGAAAAACCTTATACTCTATAAAATTGTAAAAATGAAAAACCCTATACTCTATAAAGTTGAAGAAATGAAAAAACCTATGCTCTATAAAATTCTAGAAATGAAAAACCCTATACACTATAAAATTGTAGAAATTAAAAACCCTATACACTATAAAATTGTAGAAATGAAAAAACCTATACTCTATAAAATTGAAGAAATGAAAAACCCTATACACTATAATATTGTAGAAATGAAAAAAAAACCTATGCTCTATAAAATTGTAGAAATGAAAAACCCTATGCTCTATGAAATTGTAAAAATGAAAAACCCTATACACTATAAAATTGTAGAAATGAAAACACCTATACTCTATAAAATTGAAGAAATGAAAAACCCTATGCTCTATAAAATTGTAGAAATGAAAAAGCCTATGCTCTATAAATTTGAAGAAATGAAAAACCCTATAATTGTAGAAATGACAAAACCTGTACTGTATAAAATTGTATAAATGAAAAACCCTATACCCTATAAAATTGTAGAAATGAAAAACCCTATACACTATAAAATTGAAGAAATGAAAAACCCTATAATTGTAGAAATTAAAAAAACCTATACTCTATAAAATTGTTGAATGAAAAACCCTATACTCTATAAAATTGTAAAAATGAAAAACCCTATACTCTATAAAGTTGTAGAAATGAAAAACCCTATACACTATAAAATTGTAGAAATGTAAAATCATATACTCTAGAAAATTGTAGAAATGAAAAACCCTATACACTATAAAATTGTAGAAATGAAAAAACCTATACACTATAAAATTGTAGAAATGAAAAAAGCTATACTCTATAAAATTGAAGAAATGAAAATCCCTATACTCTATAAAATTGTAGAAATGAAAAACCCTATACACTATAAAATTGTAGAAATGAAAAACTCTATGCTCTATAATATTGTAAAAATGAAAAAACCTATACACTATAAAATTTTAGAAATGAAAAACCCTATATTGTAGAAATGAAAAACCCTATGCTCCATAAAATTGCAGAAATGAAAAACCCTATACTCTATAAAATTGCAGAAATGAAAAAGCCTATAATTGTAGAAATGAAAAAGCCTATACACTATAAAATTGTAGAAATGAAAAACCCTATACCCTATAAAATTGTAGAAATTTAAAACCCTATATTCTATAAAATTACAGAAATGAAAAACCCTATAATTGCAGAAATGAAAAACCCTATGCACTATAAAATTGTAGAAATAAAAAACCCTATACTCTATAAAATTGTAGAAATTAAAAACTCAATGCTCTATAAAATTGAAGAAATGAAAAAGCCTATGCTCTATAAAATTGCAGAAATGAAAAACCCTATAATTATAGAAATGAAAAACCGTATACTCTATAAAATTGTGGAAATGAAAAAGCCTATACTCTATAAAATTGTAGAAATGAAAAAGCCTATACTCTATAAAATTGTAGAAATGACAAACCCTATGTTCTATAAAATTGCAGAAATCTAAAAACCCTATACACTGTAAAATTGCAGAAATCTAAAAACCCTATATTCTATAGCATTGCAGAAATCAAATGCACTATGCTTTATATAATTGCAGAAGTCAAAAGTCCCATAGTCTATACAGTGTGTATCAAAAATACTTTTACAAACTTAGAGGGTTGGGTTCCTCACACCAAAAGAGAGACAAAAGTTTGGATGACTCGACTGCCATTAATCTGAAAACCAAATGGCAGAGACGTTCAGGAGGACATATGTAAATATATATCTGTCTGTTCACGATATGAATATTCTGCCATTTTATTGTTTTCTTTTTTTTTTAAATTCCTCATTTTGAGATTTGGAATTATTTCTTTTTCAGTTGGAGATGCGCCGGAGATACGACGAGACTTGTCGCAGAGTTTTACCGTTCTTGGAAAGCACCCTAAAGACACGCTATGGAGGAGACCGTTACTTTATGGGAGAATATGTATGTTGATTACCATTCTTTACCTGCATGGACGATTCTTTGGAATCTTTGCAGTCTCCATCGGCTTACGATGAAGATGTTAAATGTTAGATTAGAGAGAT